TACGAAATGCACATGAATTACGAGAATGAAGTTTTCCACATGATAAACATTTGCCAAACTTGGTCTCACCTTTGTGATTTCCTTTGTAATTCCTTGTTGAAACACCTTTCATATTTACACGGGAATTGGAGCCACTGTTAAACGAACGCAATTTTGATTGACCCTGAGATTGTATTCCATCATGATGACTAAGCAAAGTATTAGAAATATTCATCGAATGGATATCAAGTTCATTCACTGCCTCGTAGTTAATACACGCAGTTCTAGCATCTTGAAAGGAACAGTTGGGCATTCTCAACAGCTCTTTCCAAACCCGGTATGTTGATTCCTGCGGTTAATCGGTCTCTCAGTTGCACATGAAGTCGATCACCAAAATTACATTTGGCAGCTTGTTTCTGCAATTCAAGGATGAATTCCCTAACCTTTTTGTCATTTTGACGAATCATCTTATGAAATTTCGCCCTTTCACGGCATTCAAAACTAGTAAACTTTACATGATTTAATAATAGCTCCTTAATGGTTACATAAGGAAGTGAGATAGGTTTTTCTGGATATGCCAAATTTTTTAATAAGCTGTACGCTTCTCTTCCGATGAATATCAAGAAATGTGCCACAATCTTATCATCCTTAACATCTTTCTTGGTCATGCTCCAGATTTAAAACATTTTTAAATAATCCTCAAAGGTTCAGAAGTTGGATGAATATCTAACTGTTCCATCGCAGGCTCCATCGCGACGCCAATATGACAATTAGAAGTATTTGAATTATAGTATGAACTAATAATCCCAGAAATAACGTAAATGGATCAAGAACTACTAGATAAGCATGAACGTATGTACTGTATTTAGGATTCAAAATCAGGCATTCAACGAGTACAAAGGAGTTATTAGTTCATTCAAACACCACAGTTGTGTCTTCTCATTTCTGTAGCCATTTGGAAGACTTTCCTAGTCTCGCACATTGTTTGAGCATTCCATTCATTTACTTGAGTTTGCATTGTCGAAAATAACCACATTAGGCTGACTAGACACTCATCCAGGTTTTGAGTAGTAAATACGTCAAACTACTAATAAACTAAAACAACAACTATAGCTTTTACATATATGTAACGAGCGCAAACATTACGAAGATGCTTTTAATGGCTGATAAACAACGACATTCAGAAATCTCGACAACATGTAACATGTAGGCGTGAACCAATAGCTTAACTTCTTAACCGTCCCGAAAGATGTCATCAAGCAATTTTGTTTTGGGCAGTTTGATTCAGAATGTATTTATACGAAAAGGGTTCTACCACCGAGGTTCTAGCAAAGATGTTTGACGTGGTGAAAGATTTTATGCACAGTCATTTTATAGCTTGTGATCTTTGTCGATGTTTAATGACCTCATTAGAGTATATCTGTCTTGGAGGTGACCTTCTAATGGCTTACAGATTCCTTCACACTTCCGGACATCCTCTTAAACACCTACTTAAGCTTAGTCCCAACACTAACCTATGGGGTAACACCCAGAAATTGGAGATACAACATAGTAGAACGGACTGCAGGCACATCCTCTACCCCTTAGGAGTATAATTCGCTGGGCTAGTCCAAGCAACTTTCAGGGAGTCCTTTAAGAGACGACTTGATCTATTCTTAAGGACTAAGGATAGTATCCTACTATGATTTACCGATTTCTTTTCTTCTCTTTTATCATTAATATACCTAGGTTCCTGCCTGGAGGTATAGGTGATCCCCTGCTACTAGAAACGGAAGCCTGTTAAGCGAAAGCTTCTTCTATTCGGTCCACAACCATTTGAACCATTTTGAACCATTTAACCTCAGGCGCTCAGTTTGTAAATCTGCACATGACAGCCCCGGAGAGCAAGATTGGTGAAATTAGGACCTTGATTGTCCCTAAAAACCGCAGGACACCAATTCGCAATTCATGGCCTTCAATTGTTGAGGTACAAATCTGTATGTTTTTTAAAGTTCCTAGTAGGTGTTAACAAAGCAGCTCAAACTTATGGTATGCATGAAAACAGATAAGAAATTATGGAAAGTATTTATCAAACCATCTTCAGAAACAAGAGATGCCCAGCACTTACAGAAAGGTTGTGACTTCGTGAACGCTTTTCTGAAAGGCTTTAAGTACGAAGACGCATTAGCTGTGGTCAGAATAGACGGTATCTACGTCAATTCATTCCACATGATGGATGTGAAACAAACACTCAAAGTAAGTTGACGTTTCTCATCCATCAACTTAGATACGAACAATTGTTTATAAATCCCGTAACCATGGTTGACTATTTTCATAAGTATAGTATTACGATTCCTGTCATGAGTAATTGGGATTTTCGGAGCTTACCTAGTGTTTCTTTAGTGTGGATGTTAAGGTCGTAAATCTAGCAAATAATACATTTATGCAGTAACTGTAAGGTGATCATATATTTAAATTAACATTTGTGGGTTTCAAGTGGCAGTATCATCCGTTGAAAACCAGTCCCGATTACACTTCCTGGTTTATTTGTAAAATTACTTGCTTTGGTATCCTAGTAAGTTAAAACCGAAGCGTTCGGTATCAAGTTTGCAACGTCGAATTTTGAAGACATCGGACACAAATATCAAACTTCGTCTCATCGGTTACATATTACATGAACGACAGGCTCTTAAAGTAGACCCTAATTGTCGAAAATTATTGAAATGTAAATCATAATTCTTCTATCGTAGAGTAATTGAACCAGCTCGTAATCCTACTGGAAGATTTTGTTCATCGATGCTAATACTTCACCCACAAATTATGGTTTACGATTGGGCTAAAAATTTTTGGCCCAATTGTAAACTGCAACGTTTAAACGTTGCAGTTGCACTTTAACTCTGGTCATTGGTAATTCGTAGACTCAGAACGTTGGTTATGCAACTCATTTGCGATATATGAATTCGTATGCTCGATTTTGAACCATTTTTTCTGCAACAGATGTTGATAACTCTTGGCTACTCAAATCAAGTTAAGCAGATTAACCACGTACAATAATTACCATTTTGCCGCTCAATACCATCCACTTGAACAAATGTCAGGCTAGAGTTCGAACTCAGCTCAACAAATTCCCTGAAGTGTTGAGCCGAAACTTTTTATATAGCATGTGTCGCACGATACCGTTCGATCAATATCATTTCTAATACGGTTTCTGATAATTGTTTTTCAGGGTGATCATATGGCTCGAGCAGTTGGGCGTATTTGTGGTGCTAAAGGTCGTATTCGTATGTGCATTGAAAACGCTACACGAACTCGCATAGTTGTTGCCGATGAAACCATCCACATTCTAGGAAGCAATGACCGTATAGCAGTTGCCCGACGTGCAATATGTGATCTGATATTAGGTGCTCCGCCAAACAAAATTTTCGGAAAAATTCGGACACATGCGGCTAGACTAGATTCTTCTTTGTAACTTCTTTAAACCTACGCGCTAATGTATAAGACTTGTTTATTCAATTTTCGTTATCTTGCTAATGTTATTATTTTGATACTATATGTATTGTCTTCATGAAACGTAAATTATTTATGGCTAATATTTTCAAATTATTTGCTACAAACGAAAGTAAACTTCAGTTGGTTACATGAGTAGATTTTTTATAATAATAAGTCGTAGGGAAAAGAAATGTAGACACTGAACATGTGCATTAAAGTATATCAATGAGGCTAGCCGTTAATCGTACTAAGAGTGAATGCACACTTTTAAAAAATATCAAATCGTTTGTTCTACTGTATAATACGCATATTTTGTGGTTTCGTAGTACTTGCTGTAATATTTAGAATCTCAAACTCATCTCTTTTCCAAATGTAAATTTGCTCTCAATAGTAATCAGATATTTTAATGTTGAATTGGTACGTTTATTTTTAAGTGTACTAGAATGTTGTTAGAAAGCTTGGTGAAGATGATTCACAAAACATGTAACGTGTTACGATAACTTTTGGATACAATCCGGTTTATAATTATTGTTTGACATCCTCAAGCACTACGTACTTTTAGTTTAATTTGGATTATGGGCGCCTATAGTGTGACTTGTAATGAAGTACATAAAGTTGTGGCTCTAACTTAGTTACTTTCGGTCGATTAAAAATTCCAATTAAAAGGCTACTTTTTTAAGCCTATAGTTGATCATACAAACCGAAGTGCTGCAATCCACAGTGTAGGTCACATACTTGCTTAAGATAAATTGCAAATTGGAACCTTTAATACGACCCCAAAAGCTAAGCACAAAGTAACAAATAAAATACCCCTTGTGCTATTGAACAATAATATCTCGAAAGAGGTTTAACTATTTGTGTTGTAACTGTGAAACGCTTGTACTGTTACTTGTATGGCTAGTTGTTATGACTATGAAAAATGATACTTGTCACAACGGACCGTAGATTGATATTACTAGACCCAGGTAGGAAGTACTTTTCGAGTGAAGTTCTATTCATACACCAACCACTGATTAACAGCGGACAAATCTGACATTGGGGTATATGTCATCTTAAATATCTGATCAACGGTTAAATTTAAGTGCATATAATTTTCGGTAATTGACATTAATTAGTCAGTAATATATTGTATGTATACAATTCGCGATATTATTTGGTCAACTGTTTTGGCTAGCGAACATAACTAAATAACTCAGTTATATTTTTGCTTCTATCTGATAGTTCGCTGTCGTATTTATGGTATTTATAAGTCAGTTAAGACAATAGAAAGTGCTTGGTGTTAATAATAATTGGTCTGAATGTTAAGACTTGGAACATTCAAAATTGAAACGTCTACATCGTAAATGCAACTGTTGTATGCGTAGTAAACATCTTGTAATAAAACAAATCCGACAGTTCAAAGAAATCAAGTCAAGTAGTCTGCAGAAACAAAAATCATCACCGTCATTATTCGAGTAACCGACGATGGTTGGTAATAGTCTAGTGCTTAATGTGTTTGGTTTTCAGTCATTCAGTTTCGGTTCCGAAACTAACTCCGTTTGGAAAGAATGGCAGTGTCGGCATCTCTTACGGAATGTGGGTGGATTTGTTGTGGGTTACTTAGGCTACATTCGGTTCAGTTAACTTTAAACAGGTTACACAGCAACTATGCAGGTCATTCATCAAACACAAGTCTGTGCAATATTTCTTCATAAATCGTCTCATTTTAGTTGGGGCTAGATATTTCTATGTACATAAAACCAGAATCTGAAAGGAAATGAGCATTTTACTTTATAAGTGATTGCAATGCGTGGGGATTTCTTTCATACCAAATGTTGAGGTGTAGGTTTGTAATTAGTATCGACGACAGATATATTGATTTTCGAAACCATTTCACGTGGAATTTCTATTTTACAGTAAAGATGTTTATAACGATGTATTTTAAGGTTCCTGCTATTAACTGTAAGGTGGTGGTAAGCCATTAGGTTGACTATAATTCTGATCACAACCTTGATTTACTTGATATCCTTGGGGGTAAGAATGTAATTGTAAAGGATCTGTGACATTAGTAATATGAGTTGGTAATTGTTTATTTTTTGAATGAGTTCTCAAATTATTTTGGTGAGTATTTGTGTCTTTTGATACGGTTGAAATGTTTAAACAGCAGCAACATGTCAATGACATAACATCCATTAGACATATTCCACTAGCCAAAATAAGCAATGCCGTTTGAACAATGAATTCTACCCGATATTCATAGTAAACTTGCGCATCTATGATGTCAATAATCCAATATATTGTAAATAACGAGAACATAATGCCGATCAAACATACAAGCAAGCTGAATAAAGCGAAGGATATAGCTAGTTTGTAAAATTTTCCATCTTGTCTACTTTTTTCAATCGAATAAATTACGGCGGTAAATAGGATAAATGGACTTGTCCAGTAACCTGCATAAAATGTCAGTGGGACAATTCTTATGTTATGTGTGTATAATTCGCAGGTCACAATGGCAATTATTATCAACATTGAACAAATTGTTGACAGCAGCTGGAATAAGAAAAAGGTGGTTTTTGGGTTCTTGTGTATATTTTCCATTTGTCTTCAATGTTCTTGATTTTAAGATGATAAGCCTTGAATTTTTCACCCTAAACTTTTCCTGCTATATATATACCAAAAGTGAGGCGCATTCTCACCTGTTTCTTATTTCATATCTGTAATCCGGTTGGTTAAAGCGCCTAATAACAACATTTGGTAACTATAACAACGGATTCTACCTAGTTTAATTAATAAAGGTTGAATTCCATGGTTAGATCCAGAATAAATTCCCACTAGTGTGTGATTTATTTCTTTTCTTAAATTAAAATCTTATTGTTTATTATCAGTAAGTAAATAAACAATAAGTTAACAACTTTCCAAAAGTATCGATTGATACATATAATAATATTAATAATCTTGCTTTAGAGGCAATATCATTCAAAATTCGAAAAGAACTGGACTACCGAAATCTGTCCTTATTCTGCCACTAGTCATACCTAACAACATGGTTTGAGAATTAATATTGCGGAATGTTGATATATTGTCGATCGCAAGTATATTTTTAACTGTATGTGAGGATACCACGTTTTCTAGAACAAGGACAATCAGAATACTAGCTTTTTCCGAGGTGTTATATTTCACTTTTGTCTCAAGTTTTTTCTCTAAGTACAGTTGAATTTTCTTTATTAACATGTCCTTCATCGTTTTAACGGGGAGAGTATAAATTATTCAAAATTTATGCTACTCTAAATCCAAGCAATCTCAAGTCAAGTTTCGATCTTCGAGTCATTCTTAATGTGAACAAAACCAACCGAACTGTCAGTCTGTTTAGTTTACCTTCAAGCTATTGAAAAGTCGGATATGCTTTCTTCAAAATTTCCTCGAGCAATAGGTTCTTTCTTCCATTCCTTCACTGATTAGTTCAAATAATGAAGATCAATTCAAATAGTTTAAGACAATTTCATTTTTGCCTGAAGTTATTTGTTAATATGGTTGTCTTTTCTATGGTTGTTTACTAATGTACGTGTATATAATCAAGTAGCATTTCAGTGTTCTCTAAGTACTTCTCCTTATTGACTAATACTTTATTTAACCTTTCTTTGATACTAAATGAAAATGTTCTTTCCACTTTTAAATGAATAATAAAGAACATTTGCAGTTCACAAAAATAGATTTTAAAAATGTTATTTTTTAAAATTTGCATATTAGCGTTGGAACGGCTTCGAGAAGCACGACGAAACCAAAGAGATTCTATCCAATTAAGACCTGATAGAAATTTCCAGAATGCCTCCTTGAGGAGGCTGTAATATTGATGTTACAGCCAATATTAATAACTACAAAAACCCATGCTTTTTTGTACGTATTTGATTTCTTACTCAATGATCACTTATCCTGTTTCTCCCGTCTTCTGATCTGCGACTTCGGGGTTCTGTGCGTTCGTGTGCCGTTAGTTGTATATCATATACTACCGTAATGAAGTAGAGGTCACAACAATTAGGATAAATTTGCTGACAACAAAATAATGTAGTTCATTTGAGATTCTATATCTACTGTTAACCATGAACCAAATTTTTCATTCACATAGTTCCCTTTATTATTTTAAAGAAAGCAAGAACAAAGGTTGATGCAGATTAATATGAATTCATTTTATTTCGTTAGGTTCTCATCAGCTGTTTACAACTTAAAATATTTGAAATTCAACGTTATTACAGATATTGACACACTTATACATGAGAGGGTGATGAAGGATGAATATAAGTAACATGATGTAGCAAAGATTCCGTTAGAGTTAATGAGGTCATAAAATTTTTGTTTCGAATATATAGAGTTTGGGAGGGAAGGTTCTATAACATAGAAATAGTGATTAGAACTCATGGAATTAAAATACATTAGATAATTATGTAATGAAATAACTGAAAATAAATTAATGGCAATAAAGAGAGATATGAATTGAAATTGGTCAGTTATGAATGATGTAACCATAAAATTCAGAAAGAGTTGACATGACGTAATAAATAAAAAAAGGGGGTAATGTTATGTCGGATGAAATTTCAACATTGTTTAGAGTTAGGTTTTGTAATCACGTTACACTGAACTTCCGTTGGATTTCCTCCAGAAATTTGAGTAATAAAATTTTTATAAAATCATTTTCATTTACCTGAAAGCTAATTTATTCTCAGGAATATTTTTATCCAGTAGACAAATAATTATCTAAAATCTGCTAATGAATGTTACAGATAACACCTATAAATTAATGATGATAAAGCAAACATGTACTTTGAAATGAAGGATTTTATTTTATTTGGCAGAATACTGGAGCGATATGAATAAAGATTGAACATTCAGAGTGGGCTGACAGAATATTAATCTGAAACTCGGAAATTCTTCAAGTACATAAATATGAAGTTTCGATTATGTTGACACCTGTGGTGGTTCCCAGCAAAAAAGCTTATACAAGATATATTAATACACCAGGTTACTAATAATAATATGCCAAAAGAGTTAACAGTGGAAACCCTAGGTGTCTGTGTACGGTAAAAAAGAAACCAAGGGTAACAAATTTACAATTATAAATACAAGTGGTGTATTGAGCAATATGGTAGTAACAATTATTACAGAATGAATGTTACTTGAAAGCTGCTCCCTGGGATGACAACCACAAATAAGTCCACTCGATTTAACGTAGGTTCTTCTGCGACTGATGGCACCAACGTCGTGACTAGGAAGACAGAGGCCAATAGTATTGTGTAATAGTGATCCGGGCCAAAATGCCAACGTAGTGCAAAGAGGCCTATAAGGATATTATAATACTATTATAGTCTTCGATCAAAGGCCGTGGCCAATAAAGCAGAAGGGTAGACGACGTGGATAATGTATTATATTTTAATCCGCGCGGTAGTAAAAAGTGTGTTCAAATCTTATCAAAACAATTATCATCTTTTTTAACATAAGTGATACAGAAAAACAACGGATATTGAATAAAAATGTGGTTACAAAAAATCACGGAATATACGTCACCATATAACTCCCCCCCTAGGGCATGCGTCGGTGGAAGTATGCCCGACGTAAAACTCTAAATGTTTTGGAGGGAAAAGAAAATTACACAACAAGAAGAACAGACAAATGTTATCAGAAAAAAAATCGTATGCGTATACCTGTTTACGAACAAAATTGTTTTTCTTGCGGTAAAGAGAAAAAAAAATCGTTTCTCATTTTAATGTATATAAAAGGTTTAACAATAATAATGGAAAGTAGAATAATAATAATTATAATAATAATAACAATAATAATAATGTTAACAATAATAACGGTAATTAAATTGGTAGTTGCCAAAAATAAATAGATACTTGTATATACTGTGTGTGTATTTAATAATAAACTAAACGAGTCTAACGACGTTGAATAATGTTGCAGAAATAATAATAATAAACATCATATGAAACGTATGCACATGTAGAGAAAAATATAATGAGTTTATCACTTTTTGTAGTACATACGAAATGTTTTTTTTAATAAAACTGCTCGAGAAAAAAAATGTTATTAGTAACTTTGCTAATATAGATGTTCGCTTACATTACCAAAATGACAGAATAAAGATTAATTAATGAATTCAACAAAACGTTTAGGAAAATGTACATGTCTTCCTGAACGAGTTGTTTTAGGAGCAGGTAAAATGGCGGAATTAGGAGCTACATTTGTGGGGGGTGTAACTTTAGAATCGTCCATTTTACGCAGTGTCGCCGAAGTAGGTAAGGAATTATGTGGAAGTTCAAGGAAACTGCGTTGTACGACTGCTGCTGTCTTTAGATGGCTTTTGACTGCCTTGTGCTTCGTATTCTACAAAAGCAGGTTTTATCCTGTCAATTGAGACTGTCTCGTTTTTTCCGTTCTTTTTGATTGTAAAATATTTTGTTTGCCTCTCAAGTACTTCATACGGTCCTTCATACGGGTGTTGTAAAGGACGTCTTACAGAGTCAACACGAACAAATACAAATTTACACGTATCTAGATGTTTGCTAACTTGCTCTTTTAAGACAGCTGGTCGAGGTGAAACAGGTTTGATGTGATTCATATGGCTCATTAGTCTTTCGCAAAAAGAAGTGGGATCCGTACATACGGGTTTGCAACTATGCGTCACTAGTTGGCCAGGTAAGGTTAAATTAGTTCCATAGACGAGCTGTGCAGGAGTACATCGGAGGTCTTCTTTAATTGTGGAACGTATGCTAAGTAAAATAAGAGGTAGGGATTCGCTCCATCTAGAAACATCAGGTTGTACCATCAGTGAGCTTTTTAGTTGTCTGTGGAATCGTTCTACTAGTCCGTTCGCTGCTGGATGGTATGCTGTTGTAGTGATGTGATGGATTCCCAAAATGCGGGTAAATTCGTTGAAGAGGTGAGATTGGAACTGCGAACCTCTGTCAGAAGTAATTGTGGAAGGTACACCAAAATAAGCGATCCATCTGTCGAGAAATACGGCAGCAACATTTTCAGCGGAGATGTCTTTTATTGGGCAAGCAATTGGCCATCTGGTAAAACGGTCTACCGCAGTAAAAATGTAAGTAAATCCGTTAGATGGGGCTAAAGGACCGACTAGATCAATATGAACATGTTGAAAACGATGGTCGGGTAGACTAAATGTTGACGGTGTTGTAATTGTATGTCTATGAATTTTACTGCGCTGGCATTGTAAACAATTTCTAGTCCATTGTTTTATATTTGCATTCATCTTTGGCCAAACAAATCTTTCCGAAATCAGTTTCACAGTAGCGCGGATTCCTGGATGAGATAGAGAATGAAGGCAATCGAAAACTCTTTTTCTGTACGCTATTGGAACAAAAGGTCTGTGTGTTCCGGTCGAAGTATCACAAATGATAGTAGAGTCGGAATGCGGTATAGGAACACTTTTTAAGGACAGGCTCGAATTTTGTTTACAAGCTACAAGGTCGGGATCATCTATTTGTAGACGTGCCATCTCTGATAAATCGATTCCTTTGGTGAAGGAAATTGCATCGACATTGAAACGTGACAGGGTATCCGCAACAACATTTGATTCTCCTTTTATAAACTGTATGTTGGTTGAAAATTGAGAAATATAGTCCAATTGTCGCTTTTCTCTTGGAGAATATCGATCACTTTTAGCGTTGAAAGCATAGGTTAAAGGTTTGTGATCCGTGAGTATCACAAAATCTCTGCCTTGAAGTAAGTGGTTAAAATGTTTAACAGCCAGATAAATAGCCAATAGTTCCCTACCAAAAGTACTATATCGCGTTTGAGTTGGTTCTAGCTTCTTTGAAAAGAAGGCAAGTGGTTTGATCTCATTATTCACTCGCTGTTGTAGTACCGCACCTACTGCTGCCTGAGATGCATCTGTACACAAGATTAGTGTTGCTTCCGGATCAGGGTTTATGTAGGTCAGCATAGTTGTAGCAGCGATTGCTGTTTTAGCTGCAGAAAAAGCATCTTTCGCTTCGGGGGGTAATGTGAACTTTTTAGCTTTGCCTTTTAACACCTCGGTCAAAGGTTGTAGAATGGCTGAGCAATGTGGAATAAAGCGACGATAAAAATTGATCATCCCCAAAAAACGCCGAAGTTTATTCAATGAATCGGGTTCTGGAAAGTTCTTGATGGCTTCTATTTTTGTATCCAACGGTTTAATTCCATGTTTGTCGATCATGTGACCTAAAAACTCTAAACTCTCGACCCCAAAAATACATTTGGATGGATTAATAACTATGCCATATTTCTGAAATCTTTCGAATAATTGATGTAGGTGATCAATGTGTTCGTGGAACGACTTGCTAGCTATCAATACATCATCAATATACACGAAAACGAAATCTAGGCCTTTAGTGACCTCATCCATAAATCGTTGAAAAGTTTGTGCGGCGTTCTTTAATCCAAATAGCATTCTCAGGAATTCAAACAAACCAAATGGAGTAATGATGGCTGTTTTTGCTATGTCCTCGTGTGCTACTGGGATTTGATGGTACGCTCGTACAAGGTCGATTTTAGAAAAAAAAATGTTTGCCGTGTAAAGTGAGCGAAAAATCATGTAAATGAGGGATTGGGTAACGGTCCGGTAACGTTAGGTTGTTCAATGACCTATAATCACCACAGGGTCGCCAATCCTGATCCCGCTTGGGCACCATATGGAGTGGGGATGCCCATGGGCTACTTGAAGGACGTATTATACCTAGTTGCATCATGTGGTCAAATTCAGCCTTTGCAACATTCAGTTTGTTCGGTGGTAATCGGCGTGGACGTGCCGATGTTGGTTGGCCTTTTGTGATTATCCGGTGTACTACAGAATGTTGGACCGTGTTTTCACTGTAGTCCGGTTTCGTTATTTTGGGAAATTTAGATAAAATAGTGGTGAATATGTCGTTTCCTGGAGTGTCAATTTTAATACTATGTATGTGGTAGTCTGACTGAATTCCCAGGACTTGAAGTTTAGTGCAGGAATCAATAAGTTTTCTTCTTTTTACGTCAACTAATAAGTTGTAGAAGCTTAAAAAATCTGCACCTAATATGGGGTGGCGGACGTCAGCAATAATAAATACCCAGGTTAAATGACGTTTAATTCCCAAGTCAAATGTTAGAAATTGTTCGCCGAATGTCTTTATTTCAGTCCTGTTAGCCGCCCTTAGGGTGTATTTTCCACCCTTAGGAACAGGTTTGTTGGCTAAGGTAACTGGAATAACGCTGACTTCTGCTCCAGTGTCTACTAAGAATTTATATCCTGAAGTTTTATCAAGGACATGGAAAAGGCGAGTATGAGGATCACTCGAAATATTTGTTGTTACCATGGTTTGGTTGACACCTTTAGGTGAGGAAAATGACTTGAAAAATTTACAAGACGTGACGCATTTCCTAGCTTTGTCACCGTATTTTCTATGGTACCAACATATGTGATCATCATATTTCTTTCCTTTTGAGGTGTCTCGATTCTTACTCCCTCGGGAACTGGAGCGAGACCTTTTAGATGTGAGATTGGAAAGTAATAGTTGTAATCCATCTAGTTTATTTTCGAGACTGGCAATGGTTCGTTCGTGATGTGCTCGTAGTTCGCCTAATTCGGCTGTTAACGACGCTATTGTAGGAGTTTGCCTGTCATTCGAAGTCTCTGATAGTGTCTGCACATACGGTGTAGTACAAGGTGTTACCTCTAAAATTTTGTCGGCCATGCTAGCTAGATTCTCTAAATCTAAAGGTTGGCTAGAAGCACAAAGAATTTGCTTAACTACCGTTGGTAAACGTTGTAGCCAAATTTCCTTCAGAAAAACATCATCAACTTTATAAGGTCCAGCTAACTGCCTCATCTGGTGTAATAATTGGGAGGGTGACTTGTCACCTAACTCACACTCGTGTAGGAATTGTTGTAGCCTCTTTTCGTCCGATAATGAGGTACGTTGGATGATGGCCTGCTTTAACTGGTCATATGTATTAGCTGCAGGGACATTATCTATGAGATCCGATACCTCAGATGCTACTTCCGTCGGCAGTATTCCAAGCACAAAAGAGTACTTTGATGTCTGTGAACGTATGTTACGCCGCTGAAACTGTACTTCCACTTGTGCAAACCAAATACGTGGATTTAATCGGCTAAGTGGAGGCACATTCATCAAGTTTAGAGCGTTTAACTCTGTTGAAATGCAGTCCTGGCTAATGCCATCAGCGTCGGATGGATACACTACAAAGATATAAAAAAAAATAATTACTACAAAAAGGAAAAATAACGCCGAAATGTTTGTGAGTGGACTCAGAACTAGTTTCGAAAGGAAAATTTACGGGCTCACCAGATTTGTGGTGGTTTCCAGCAAAAAAGCTTATACAAGATATATTAATACACCAGGTTACTAATAATAATATGCCAAAAGAGTTAACAGTGGAAACCCTAGGTGTCTGTGTACGGTAAAAAAGAAACCAAGGGTAACAAATTTACAATTATAAATACAAGTGGTGTATTGAGCAATATGGTAGTAACAATTATTACAGAATGAATGTTACTTGAAAGCTGCTCCCTGGGATGACAACCACAAATAAGTCCACTCGATTTAACGTAGGTTCTTCTGCGACTGATGGCACCAACGTCGTGACTAGGAAGACAGAGGCCAATAGTATTGTGTAATAGTGATCCGGGCCAAAATGCCAACGTAGTGCAAAGAGGCCTATAAGGATATTATAATACTATTATAGTCTTCGATCAAAGGCCGTGGCCAATAAAGCAGAAGGGTAGACGACGTGGATAATGTATTATATTTTAATCCGCGCGGTAGTAAAAAGTGTGTTCAAATCTTATCAAAACAATTATCATCTTTTTTAACATAAGTGATACAGAAAAACAACGGATATTGAATAAAAATGTGGTTACAAAAAATCACGGAATATACGTCACCATACACCCTAATAAAAAAGAGTAAATTACAAATGAAAACTGTAAGCAAATAAAGATAAATGTAAAATATTCCACTTCACTAAATACATTGAATTTCATTCCTTCGTAAATTCATTTAAGTGAGAAGTTTAATTATTAAAAAGGCATAGTGTTTAACCTTGAACATACTTGTTTTCTTTTAAATAATTGTTTCAACCTTATTAGTAATGTTTTCACATAATAATGACTGGTTTGTAAATTTTTGCACGCATAATTCTATTTTTAATACAATAAATTCATAAATGCACACGGTCTTATTTCTTACTTAAGTGCCAGTCCATTTGAGGCTACTAGAGTATATTTTAGACAAACCTGGGAATTACTAGTTCGTTTATGCCATTCGACATTGCTACTTCCGCCTTTTGTAGTGTATCGAACAATTCATCGAGTAACTTTCAATAAAATTCTGATGGTGAGGATTGTTTATTCATGAACGATTGCACATTTTACAATTTGATCAAATAATGGTTCATTCAAGCTGAAGTTTGAATTTCCAAACCAAAATGCACATTTCGTACTCCAGGATTAACAAATATGATCTAACTAAATAAAGATAATTTCTGATAACTGCTATGTTTGAAGTGATTACGAGTTCACCTAGTCTTTAGTGGCCCGAGATCTGGCTTCAATTTGATCGTATGAATGTTTGCTATCGTCTATCCTCGTATATAATCTTTGACTTAAATCGCGTTAGTTAATAACGGAATTAAATAAGTCAAATAACGAGAATGTAGTTTTGAATGCATATATTTTGTATAATTGTTGATTAGACAAACGAACGGAGGAACGATGCGAAGATGAGAAAGCGAAGCTAAATTGACGCGCGGTGGAGATGGCTGGTAAGCCAACTCCCGCTTAACAGAGAGTTAATCAATATTTATAAGCCCAGAAAAATAAATTACAGACATGTGATGAGTAACGGTATAAGAAATGTTCATACGCCTACGCGCTCATACAAAGACAATCAAGATATTGATAAGCGTGTATTGACCTACTTTTGTCAACAGAACGCGATTGGTTCGATGAAAACAATTATTATTATAACCAATTGTACCAGTGACTGCTTTACTGTGCTCGTTTGTTTAACTGTGCTAATAACAGCCATTTTAGTCTTCCATTGTATTCCATTGCTTCTACGCGGTTTTCGACTACGCACGTATCTTTTCTTGCCGATCGCACCTGTACTCCTTTGGCACGATCTCAGTATTCTTTCGATATCACGAGATTGCCAACAAATATATACGACTACTACTATCATCTGCCTTCTGATTTTTGGCCTACCGGAATCTTATTGGTCTATTGACACGTAGTCTGGTAGCGGTGTTCATAGTCAAGCTCAACTCGACACCACGCTACATTCGGTGAGCCAAATATTGGAACACGCCTCAACCTCGGTCAAATCTTTCAAAGAAGGCGATTTGGTGAGTCTATTGTTTTATCTATCCACGTCTGTCATATATTTTCATATTAATTTTTAATATATAATATATTTGACATGACGGATAGCGATAAGAATAGTATTAATATAATAGACTCCGATGTACGCGTATCGAATCCTCGGCACTTTTTATTCGCGTGACGATAAATTCCACACCTAATTTGAGAAATTCCCTAGAATAACTAAACCACTCGAGGAGATTTAATCGGTGACCAATCGTGTGGTACACCACATAGTCACCCGCGGACCACCAGTCACGGCAAGACCACGCCGACTGGCACCGGACAAATTAGCCTTCGCTAAACGTGAGTTTGACAGTTTACTATCTACTGGTATTATTCGTCCTTCTCACAGTCCTTGGGCCTCTCCTTTACATATGGTGCGCAAAAAGGATGGGGTTAGTTGGAGACCATGCGGCGACTACCGAGCATTAAACGTCGTTACGCGCTTTGATAGTTACCCCATCCTCCGCATACACGACATCACGGCATCGCTCAAGGGCACGACTATCTTTTCTAAAATCGATCTAGTACGAGCATATCACCAGATCCCAGTCGCTCTTGAAGACATCGAAAAAACTGCTATCACGACTCCTTTCGGTCTGTTTGAGTTCCTACGAATGTCATTTGGATTACGGAATGCTGCTCAAACTTTCCAAAGGTTTATCGATAGCATAGTACGAGACTTGGATTTTGTTCACGTCTATATTGATGACTTGCTGATCGCATCATCAAACGTAGATGAACATTATCAACACCTTACGCTATTATTCCAACGTCTTTCGGATAATGGAATAGTAGTCAACCCATAGAAATGTGAATTGGGTAAATCAGAAATAATATTTCTGGGTCACATCATCAAACAAGAGGGTATTCTGCCTTGCGAGGACAATGTTCGAGCAACCAAGGAGTAAAACGTGCCGTCCTCAATCAAGGAACTGAAGGCTTTTCTCGGTTTGGTTAACTTCTACCGACGTTTTATCCCTCACGCGGCAGAACGGTTACGACCATTAACCGATTTACTACGCGGTAATCCACGCAAATTAGAATTGAACGATACCGCACGTACTGCATTCTCAGAGATCGAAACGGCTCTCGCTGAAGTTACACTCCTCGCTCATCTTGACCCATCAGCCACGCTTAGTATAACGGTTGATGCATCAGATTTCGCTATAGGAGCCGTTATGCAACAGAATATCTCCGGTAATTGGCAACCCCTTGAATTTTTCTCACGACGCCTTACTCCCACGGAGACGAGATATAGCGCTTTTGGTCGCGAGCTTCTTGCAGCCTACTGCGCCATCAAACATTTCCGGCACGCAGTAGAAGGACGCCAATTCATCTTATTCACCGACCATAAGCCCTTAACGTATGCCCTGCATACCAAGTCTGACCGCTACTCACCACGAGAGTGCAGACATTTGGACTATATCTCACAGTTCACGACAGACCTTCGTCACATTAAAGGCGAGTCGAACTATGTTGCCGATGCTCTTTCACGTATCCAGACGAATGCAGTTACCTTACCGGTGCTCGATCTTCCTGCTATGGCCGCCGCGCAAGCAAACGATCCTGTCTGTACAGAAGCACCACAATCTTCGTCCCTTCAGTGTCAGGAAGTACCCCTAGCTACTAGCTCAGGTACTATCCTATGTGTTATTTCTACCGGTCTTCCTCGACCCATCGTACCCTCTACCTATCGCCGTCTCGTCTTCGATGCCCTTCATGGATTGTCTCATCCAGTTATCGCAGCCACATTACGTCTCATCGCTGCACGATACGTCTGGCCGTCCATGAATAAAGATGTTCGTATGTGGGTAAAGCGATGCTTACAGTGTCAACGATCAAAAAAGCACAGGCACGTAGCTGCCCGAATTGGCACGTTCGCTACGCCTGATGCTCGCTTTGATCACGTTCATATAGACATTGTAGGACCATTGCCACCATCGCATGGGTATGATCACATACTCACGTGCATTGACCGTTTTACAAGATGGCCCGAAGCTATTCCCATCACGTCTATCACGGCGGAGACAGTTGCTCACCGCTTCGTAGAACGATGGATAGCATTGTACGGTTGTCCCTCGACTGTCACGGCTGACCGAGGACAACAATTTGAGTCCGCATTATTTTCCTCACTGACCAGGCTGCTTGGTACGGAACGCATACGCACCACCGCCTACCATCCAGCATCGAATGGTTTAGTCGAAAGGTTTCATCGCCAACTTAAAAGTGCTCTCCGAGCACACGAAAACGACAATTGGTACGAAACCTTACCGCTCGTTCTCTTAGGCATCAGAATGAGTTTGAAGGCAGATATCCAATGTTCCGCCGCTAAACTTGTATACGGCACGACATTGCGTCTGCCTGGGGAATTCTTCACACCACGGAGCAGTAATGATTTCTGTAAATCAGACTACGTCCATCGACTGTCTG